TTCAATCAATGTTCAACCAATGTTCAACTAATATTCAACCAATGTTCATGACATTGGTGTCACTAATAGATTCCAGTATTTCCAATTTACATGTACCATATCATTTTTAACAGTATTTGGGGATTGATAAGTTTTTCACATTATAACATTTTGTCATTATTAAAAAACTAAACCATCTTGGATAAAAGCTACATGTATCTAATCAATTCTGTATTTTTTCCTGCTAAAATCAACCAATGTGCTAGTTTGGTGAATTCAATGAAAGTCATAAATATCCAATAAGCCAAAACTATAAACGCCACAACATGTGCAGACTGACAGCTTGCACTGTTGTTACTGCAGTTTAGCAGCTCTTATTGGCCGCTTAAGCTATTTTGATATTACGTTGTGGCCAGGTCGCCCGCAACGTATACCACGACCAAGAGAGCTGCATAAACTGCAGCAAGCACTGTTGGCGACATGTTATGGGTCTCGTTGATACCCTACGTACAGTACTCGTTGTACACTTCATAAAATATAAGCCGCCTTTACCTGTATCAGTGCATTTGTTTTTTTCGAGGTTCGTCGTCATCTCTTCGCGCTGTCTAGACTCAAATTATCGGCCATGTACACCCTCAACTCAAAAAGCTGTTCTCTGTTTAAAACAATAGAGTTAGTATCGCATTCGTATTGGCTTTAAATTCGTTAACTTGTCAACGTCTGAAATTGTGATAATGAAAAGTATAGCTCATTTCACAGTCACTATACTCTGCAGTTTGATTCGGAATTGTAACCACAGTCCCCCAACTAGGGATTATGTTGTAACCCAGGTATATTAAGTTAGGACCAGCCACTTTGATTCTGTCTTTTCTTCAAATCCCCTCATGCTGATTAAGATTTAGGACTGACCAATTAGAGAGTCGAGTTTGGCCCTTATATGGCAGACAATCCGATAATCATTTTGCGATTTCATTATTCACAGTTTGTTTGTTTTTCAAAAAAAATTATCATATATATATTTGCTCAGTAATGTACCTTTACCCAGTAACACTGTAGTTACATGCGAATTGTTTTAAAGGGCGGTGGTCGTCGCGTTGTGCATGTGCGATATTTGTGTTGATAAACATTGATTTTCCCACAATCCTTTAATGGAAATTAAAGGTATGAGGTATAACTTGGGTGCGACTTGCACTAATTACCGCCGGTGACTCCTTTGATACCTTCCACTCACCTAAAAAATACCCAAGTAAAGCTCGGCAACGTCTGAGATTGTACTCGTTGATCTGCGCAACAGTCAAAGTCGTCATCTTTTTTTATATGAGACCCATGTATCTCGCGCATGTTTGGTGCGACGACTACCGCCATTTAAATGTACTGTTGAGTAAGATTTTGGTTTCCATACAAATTCCGAAATTCGGAAATTACATAGTGGTTGCATAGCCCGAAAGCCAACGCCCCCAGATGGAAGATACAAAACGCTGAATGTTGTTTATGAAACCATCAAAAGGAGGTGATAACATTCCATCCATCAATTCCATTTGTAGGATCACAGTCCCCTTGAGGGACTGTGGTAGGATCATGCCTTGCAACAAAACAGTGTGCCATTATTACCGTTGGGTGAGAATTCCACGGATTCGACGAGTTAGGTTTTACGGTTACTATTAAAGTTATTTAGTTAAAAGTTATCAGCGCATGTAAACAAATATAAATCGTGCTTGCCGGAATAGAATTATGATCGCCGTACGACTGAGAAAATACTAAGATGTCATTGCAAAATTATGCTATTATGTATATGCAATGTCTTACCACAAGGAGTTGGACAAAATATTTCACTATAATAGGGTGTGTCTACATCGCGCGTTAATATTTGCATATAACATTAGCGCGTAACAAAAATGTGATAAAGGAAAGAGTGGTATAAACAAGGGGGGTAAAGACCAGGAGGGGTAAAAGAAATGTTATATAACATTTTATTATTTAATAATTTATTAAATTACATAAGTTTGTCCAACTTCCTGTGGTCTTACGTGCGACACAAGTTGCAGCGCCATCATGCGACCAACAGATGCTGGTTTAAATTCAAAATGGCGTCGAACGAGTCAGGAGTCGGTTCCGGGTATCGAAAAAGTCAACAAAGCAGCGGGAATCGCCGTTCAACAGGTAACATTCAAAACTGAAAAATGACAAGCAGAGAGTTTTCTGGTACATGTAAATTGCGGTCGGTGTGAAACACTACAAAATCAGTTGTACGTACTTAAAAAAAACGCATTGATGACTGCTACTGGTTGTGACTGCGGTTCATGGCCATAACGTTGCTCATCCGAACATCGCTGTGGACACAGTCAGCTAGCATCGGTGTCGCTGGGTGTATATGATAGAGGAAAGTTGTGCAACCAAATTTGCCGGGTTCGCAGTTTTTCGCCGATAAAAAATAACTAAGGCAAAACATTATTCTCTATCAATAAACCGCCCAAAACAGTAATATTTCTACTAATTCTTGTGTTTTTTCGACGTTTTTCGAAAAACCTGTGATTAAGCTGCGAAAGTAATAATTAATAAACTGTATAATAATAATAATAATAATAATAATAATAATAATAATAATAATAATAATATATATATATTATTGCATCTTTAGAAATACAGTAGCAATAAAAGTATAACAAAGTATATGTGAACAAATTGTGGAATAAGGGGGAATAAAATATTTGCCAAAAAAGCTACTCACCCTTTATAGCTTGATATAATTAGAACAAACACTAA